GGCCCACATTATATGAACCCACACTGGACCAGGTGGGACTCACCTAGGCATGTGAATCCACAGCATACCAATAGTTTCAAAATTGTTACAAAACCACAATAGCCCGAATAGGGCTAATATAGGCATGTGATTCTAAACTAATCCATTGGGGTGTATACACAGATCCTGGGCATTTAGTGTTTTATAATTGCCTTTTGATTTACAGGAGATAAAAAGATGTTAAGTGACAGCAAAACCAGATTTCCTGAAGTATATGTCAATGCTTTTCTGCATTGTCCTGCTTTCTATTAGTTATCAATTTATGTGTGCTGAATAGTCATATTTAGTCTTTTCTGTTTGTTCTACTTTCTATGTTTATTTATCTCTGGCAGTGTATTCTAAATAATAGCAATTGTCAGGCTGGTATAACCACAACATAGAGATTTGTTGCTCTCTATGGTGCTGAAAGATCATGGTGCACTGAGCATTAGCTGTTTTCCCTCTTTCTTTGAAAAAATGAGTACTTCCCAATCAAGAACTCAAGACAAATACAGGAACAGTCTACTAGGTATGGGAAGATAAAAAGGGAAATGGATATAGAAGAAGCTTAGCTATTGTTATCAATTAATAGTTTGGATTAATTTATTCACTCAACAAATGTTTATTGTACATCAAACACCAACCTTGGAGTGAAGTGACTCTCTAGTGCTGTCATATAAACATAATGATTCAGCCTGGTGTGTCCTATTGTATACTGGAGAAATTACGTGTCAGTCACACAAGTATGAAACAATGTGAATTTTCAACTTAGCAAAGGAGCTAAGAAAGATAGAGGACTTTATGGATCATAAGGTAAACTAGAGCAGATATGAATTTATCAATATGAAGTCTGGATTAAAATGAATACCTTTTCTTCACAATGATATTTATAATTTTAAAATGGACTTCAAATCTATTCAAATTTTAATTCAGAAAATTCAAATAATTATAAATCTTTCATTTTAAAGAATGTACAAGCTTTATTAGAATAGCCAATCTGCAGCTGGACCATCCTCACTATCCCATGACTGCTCACCTAGGCATGTAAACTGTCACTAAAGCAATGGGGCTTCCAGCTTATATGGCTTCCAAGAAAACAGAAATTATATAGCAACATATACAACAGAACTATCTGATATTTATGTTGCTAGAGCTCATGGTCATTAACTGGAGCTAAGCTCACTAGAAGTTCCGATCCAATCCTGCTTGTTCTCTCATCTCTAATATGCTACACTTAAATGGCAGGAAGTATGTCTTGACTTCTGAAAAAAAAATTTTGAAATTTTTCATGAGCCCTTGACTGTTTTGAAGCTAAATTCTGTAGCAGATGTTCAGAAGAAACATCCTCATATATGCTACCTTCGGGAAGGATGGGACACTCTTAAATCCCACTCTGCTGAGACCATCCATCAAAGATAAGAAATCTGCTCAGATTTCTTACAATCAGAGGCTACCTGGCTATAAACTCTGGCAACTGGAGGCCACTCATCATATATAAGGTGGTCAGTGTTTCATAACTGTAAACCATTGGTGGTAAACTTATTTAAATGTTAGCTTTTACCTTATTTCATTTTCTCCTGAGCATTTATTACCACACCTGAAGTAAGTATATACTTGTTTGCTTAGGATACATCACAATAAAATGCAACATTCATGAAAGCAGAATCTATATTTTTTCTCTTACCATTGTATTCCTAGTGCAAGCGGTAATCTTAGAAAACATTAACTGGATGAAGGACTACACTATTCCGTGAGGGCTGTTTCATTTTTCTCTTTACCTTCAGTGCCAAACCCAGTGCTTAGCTCACTTTAGATAATAAGAAAGTAAGTAGGGCCCAAACTAGAAAGGTCTCATACGACATGTTAGGGATTTTAGATATTTTCTAGAGGCAATGAGAAGCAGTTGAAGTATTATAATTAGACAGAGTTATCATTAGATTTCATTTCAGAAAATAAAATAATTTTTCTCTTAATGATGATATTTCTACCCTGTTAATCATCCAACCTTAAACTCTGAAAGTTATGTAACATATTTTTATTCTTCACTGCTAATAAGTTGCCAAGATCTGGCAATTTATTTTATAAGTTCCTTACCTCCATCCATCTATTGCATTCATTTAAATTCAGGTTTTGTTAATCACAGGATAGGCAATTATACCAGCTATACTCAAAGCCTTGTCTTTTGTATATTCTCTGTCTCAGTCACTCTATACCTCACAGCTGATAAACTGGCAATGTTGGTTGCTCCATTTAACTGATTAAATACTGCATAACTCCTAACTGATTAAGGGTAAATTCTTGTTTTCTGTTTCAACAGGTAAAATATAAGTTGCTATAACTTATAATACACAAATCACTGCATATAACATTCTCTTAATATGAGCAAACATTGTTCAAAAAATAAATCCAAACTGAAAAGTTACAGAGTCCCTATATACTATTCACTTAAATTAACTGTGAAAAGTTTGTCACATTTCCTACACCATTCTCCTTAAAGTTTTTTTCTAAACCATTATGAATAAACTGCAGACACTATGTCTTTCTTAACCCAAATATTTACTAAATATTACCCCCAATATTTCATTGGCCATACTAAAATGACCAAAACAAGAACATTTAATATTTGCGAAACTAAGTGTAATTTAAGGTAAATCAGATATTATAGACTTTATCCCTATTTTTTCACTTGCCCCAAAAATCTATAGGGATTTTTCTCCAGTCTGGTATCCAATTCTGGATTACACATTGCATTGAGTAATTATGTCTTTTAAAATCTCTAGTCTGAAACAGTTCTTTAGTCTTTGTTACTACAAATGATGTGTTTGAAATGTCATACCAAGATATTTTGTGAAGTTTCCCTAAATTTGTATTTTTTTTTTCTTTAATAGAAATAGCAGTCATTTCTATTTTTTTTTTGGGGGGGGGAGTGCCTGAAATACTAATTAAATGATATTGTGCACTTCTTATTGTATCACTGCATGAGGCTCATGATAAGAACTAGTCCTATTATTGGTGAGTTTAACTTTCATCACTTGGTTAAAATGATGCTACTAGGGCCCTCCCTGGTGGAGTAGTGGGTTAAAGCACAGCACTAAGAAGCTAAAGCCACTTCCACATGAGTTCGATCCCCGCCTGCCTCAGAGGTAATTCACATGGCACAGCAGACCTCTCCTGACCCACCTGCTGCTCCCCTCAGCAATGTGCTTCGTAGATCTGCCTATTCTGCTCCCTACTCTGTCTCTGGTGAATCCTCTAATGGCCCCTGCACCTCTGGCCTGTACCCCAGTTCTGTATGCATAATTAAATAAACCTTTAAAAAAATGATGCTAACAGATTTATTCATTACAAATAACTTTCTTCCTAGGGCCCTCCCTCATGGCATAGTTGGTTAAAAAGAAGCACTATGAAGCTAGCTGCAGCCACTTCAGCAAGCATTTGATACCAGGCCAGGGAGGTGGAGCACATGGCACAACAGACCTCTCCTGTCTTGTCTGCTGCTCCCCTTAGCAGTGTATTTAGTCAATCTCTCTGTTCTTCCCACTCTGTCTCTGGTGAATCCTCTCTCTGTCCCTGTACCTCTGGCCTGTACCCCAGTTCTGTATGCATAAATCTTAACAAATAACTTTATTCCTTTGTTAATTAGACAACTCTGCAGTCGATTATGAAAATGACCTCGCGTGTGTGTGCGTGTGTGTGCGTAAACTTTGCAAGTTGGTTTCACATCAAAGTATGGTGTATATTACTCCACTCTTGGAATCTAAGCTTGGCCATTGACGTCCTTGGGGAATTGGCAAAAATGTGTCAGCAAAGGCTAGAAAAGAAAGTCCCTGGACCTTGCTTTTCATGGTTATGCTGTTGAATCCTGCAACTATCACTACTGAAGATGAAGCTGGCCTACTAAGGTAACAATCCAGGTTGAAAACAAATATTCTTCCCAGTTGAACCCCACTCCCAACCAGCTTGCCATCAGCAGACATAAGAAAGAGACCATCCTAGACCACCCATCCCAAGCTGAGACAGAAAAGAAATCCACCCAGATAACCCACAGAAACTTGAGAAATTGCAGGTTTGCTGCTTTAAGTTATTAAGTTTGGGGATGTTGTGTATAAAGCATCAGGTAGTAATTTTCAGGGAGTACTTTGAGAACTTATAACTGTCTTGTTACACATTTAGATTTACTGATAGATCTGTGATTCATCTTTAGTTAAATATTACTACAAAAATCTCAAAATGGTATTTTTATCTTTTTGAGACAAGAAAGTAAGACTGGGGCTTATATGTCCTCCAAGATATAGGCATATTAAGAGTTGTTCCAGTATTAGAACAATGTAATCTTTTAACTCCGACCCCTTGTTTTTCTCAATATGCCATTTATAGGTGAGTGACTTCATGGAAGAACTGATTTTCACAGGAGTGGGCGACAGATATTCCAAAGTGTCTCATGTTATGAGTGGCACCTGGGTCTTTACACATACACAGTAGCACTTGTTAGATATTCATAACCCGTAGTGGAATTGAGTGAAAAAATGGGCAATATAAAGGTAACATTAAATATAATTATCATAACAATAATAAACAAGAGGCAACAGTGAATAAATGGCAAACAGGGACTTGAACTCAAACAATCCCAATTGCATGGAAGAGCATCTTCTACCTAGCATCAGTAGGGACTAGATCCTAAGGCTTCGTAAACTAATCTGAGGCTGAAGTGTGTCTTGCAGCAGGCTCAGCTCTAAACTCCTGCATTTTAAACAGATTTAGTGTCATTAATCTTCTGCTGTGCTGCATATTAACTTTACTCAGAAATATGACCGCCTATAACTTTACTCTGGAAGGCAGTCGTTCAGGTACTTCAGTGAGAGTACGTTTCAGACCAAGTCTTCCAGACTGGGATGGGAATCCAAAGCCCCACTTCTGCTCTTCACCTCTCCTTAAAACACTTAAGAGCGCAAGGGAGCACTTGGCTCTCCCGGTTCTCTTACCCTGGCCGCAGGCTGTTGCTAACCCGAACACTAGGATCCTGCCAGTCTGTTGGCACTGCCAGGGACAAGAGGCCAAACTCTGTCCTTTCAGCTTCAGGGCGCCCAGACACGAGTCGCCGGCCGCCAGTCTCCCCGGGAGAGTCGACGGCGGGGGTGGGGTCGCGGAGCTTTCTCCGAGGGCAGCGCACCTTGGAGAGGCTGGCTGGAGCCTGGGCGGGCGCGGGGTTCGGCGGCCCCTTTTGGCCCGGGGGGGCCCTGGGAGGCCGGGGGTGGCCGTGAGCTCTCGGGGGCAAGGAGCCGACCCCACGGTCGCTCTCGGGGGCCGCGCCTGCCAAGTATCGCGGGACTTGCGCGCATCGCTGGAGCGGCGGCTCCAGGAGCAGCTGGAGCGCGCTGGGTGCGCACCGCCCCAGCCCGGGGAGGAGCGGCTGCGGGAGGGAGGAGGGCCGGGGGTGCTGTTACGTAAATGATACTAGCCCAGTGAGAGGCCTCCAGGCTGGGGCTACGGGAGGAGGAGGGCCCGTGCGAGGAGGAGGGGCCGGGAGGGAGCGGGTTGGTGGGAGGGGGGCGGGGGCTGGAGGCGAAGTGACCAGGCGGCGGCGGCGGCTCAGCCGAGGTGACAATGTGCTAGGAGCCCTCGCTCGTCTCCGGCGCCTCCTCGGCCTCGGCGCCCGCTCTCGCCGCGCCCTCCAGCCGGCCGCAGAGCTATGAGGGCGCCTCTCTGGGGCTGGCCGAGGCCGGAGCCGGCTCGCTCTGCTTGCGGGCAAGTGTGAAGAGAGCGGCGCGGGCGGGAGCCGGGGCTGCGCGCGGCGCTCGCGGGCCAGCGCGGGTTTCAGGTGAGCGCGGGCTCGGCGCGCCCAGCACTCGGCGCGGCCGGGGCCGGGCTGGGTCGGAGGCTGAAATCTGCGCGCGGACCGCCGTGCCCTCTTCGCGGGATCCTTGGCCGCGACAGCAGGTCTCCGTCTCTCTCTTGCTTCTCCCTCTCTGCCTTGTGATTGTCGGGGGCGAGTCTCCCGGGGCGGCCAGAGTGCCAGGTGGGCGCCGCAAAGTCCTGCGGCGAGTGCCAGGGTGTGGAGCTTCGGACCCGTCCTGGGGCAGGGGTGCGGGCGGACCCGGCTCGCCGACCTTCGGGGCGCTCGAGGCGTGCTCCCCGCCGCTGCAGGTGCGGCGGGAGGACCGCGAGGCGCGGAACTTTCTGCCTGCCCCCTCCCGGCTTTCTCCGCTACCCGGCTCTGGCCACCCTCGGCATCCTGGTGGCGCCCGGCGGCTGTGGACACTGTTCGGGCTCCCGCCTCGGCAACTTTCTTCCACCAGCCATGAGTGTCAGGGGGCCGCGGCGCAGACACTTGGACTCGACCAGACAACAGGGGTTTGGGTGTTGTCGTCGACGGTTGTTGCCTTTGCTTTTCCGTGTATGTTTATTTTTCGTTCTCTTTCTCCATGTCTTTTTTTTTGGGGATGAGTGTCTCGGTGTCCCTGATGGTCTGTCTTTTCCGCTCCTCTCTGTCTTGTCATATATTCTCTTCATTATTGCCTTACCGCTGCCTCTCTCCAATCTCATCTCTCGTGCCCGTCCTCCTGAGCACTAGCTCTGATCCCGAGGCGCTAGTTCACCCTTCTGGGTATCTCCAGGTGAAGAGACCTCCCTGCACGGGGCCAGAGAGACTGAGATGCAAGCAGCCTCCCTTTATCTAGGCTGTCGTGGAACTGAGGGGCTAAATGAGGAGCGCAAGGACCAGCTTCTGTACCCACTATTCGAGGGCGCTGCGCCGCCAGGAACCAGAGAGCGCTGGAAGGCTACTGGTCTGGAAGGCAAAAGCTGCGGGCGCCCCTTCGCGTCGCTTGTTCTTTACTAAGAGCAGTTGATGGGTTGAATTTTCAGGTGGAGAGTCTCCCTCTCCAGGCTTTACAGAACCAGAAGAGATAGTGGGCAAACACAGAAGCTTAGGGATTTAGGGAAAGCTAACCTTAAAAGGGTGGATGCTTTCCTGGGGCAAAGGTGTTGCTAGCGGAGGAGGAGAGGAGTATTGGGATTGCTACCTGCTTAAAACTGCCATCACACTCAATCCTTCAGCTATTTCCTTGGGAAAGATTGCGGTCACTTAGCCCAGGAACACAGCGTGGAGATTTTATTGGCAGGGCTAAAAGCGCTTGGCCGCTCCAGCCCCCTGAAAATTTAGGGTTCGCTTGGATGCTGAGATTTTCAGCTTTTATGTGAAGGCTGCTTTGCTCAGACTTCATCACCTCCCTTTCAGCTCTCCCTCCACCCCCGCCAGCCCACAGCTGTGTGTGTGTGTGTTCGTGTGTGTTCGTGTGTTCATGCCCTCTAGTGTTAAACCTGCTGGTGTGAGCATATTGAGAAGTAAGGTCAACCAATAGATGATTACTTTTGGACCTCTTACTTCCCCAGATCATTCTTCTTGCCTTCCCCTCATTTTGATTGTTTATTGCAATACAGATCCTTCGTTTTCCCTCCTATTCTGCAGATTTAAAATCTTAGTATTAAAGCCCTGTTTGTGTGACTTCAGAGATGGACAGATTTAAAATTTGTTTGCTAACCTAAGGAATACTTTAGGAAAAGTGTAATTTTTGGCATTATTTGCCACAAAACAGGATTTCACATCTCTTGCCTTCTACCCTTACCCACCTTTAGTTCTATTGAGAATTTTCCCAAGGCACCTCTGCCTGTCTATATAAATGTTTTAATTGACCATTTCTGTGATGCTATACCAATCCAGGGCTTTAAGCTGCTTCCTATGTAGAGGCATTGTATCTCAGATCAGATTTGGGAAAAAAAGAAAGCTTTTCCAAAAGAAGTCCAGAACTGCTGTTGTGCATTATTTCTGGAATCAGGAATTCAGAGGGAGATGGATGTTGTCTCAGATAAGCAGACCCTTGAACAGTGTGGAGAAATTAGTAAATGCTTAATAAAAACTTGGTGGTTGATTGATTGTAATCACCAAGCAGCTGATTATAGGTTTCAATGTCACCCAGCTTCACTAATCAGCCTAAGGACAAGCAATTGGATTCTCTTTTTCCTCTCTCTGTTTCATTTAGTCTTTTATGAGTGAGAATTCAGATCTAGCTAAAGAGATGTTGAAACGTGAATCCTCTGCATGTTTTTAGCTCATTCACTGCTTTTAATTTCTCCCTCTGTAAATACTTAATTCATCTTTAACAGTCACTGAAGAATTGAAGAAATGAGTTTAGAGACACTGAGGGGTGACATCTCTCAATCTTCTTTCTTAAAAGTAAACTCAGACATGACAACATTTGGGATGCTAATACTTTTGTGTGTGTGTTTTTCAATAAATGAAAGATTCCTTTTTTAATATGAAGAACAGATTTATCAACTTAAAATGTTTGGGGGGTTATAAATTGATCTGCAAACTGAATCACTTACCTTAAGTAATTTATAGGTTTCCTTACTACTTCAAATACATATAAGAGGTGTGATTCCAATGCACATGAGAATTTGTCAAAGTACCTGGAGATGTAATGCCTCCTAAAACAAGCTGCTGGTAACAATCCATGGGCGGCAGTATTGCTTTATGATGACATACTGGTTGACTTGTAAAGAGGGATTTACCATGAATATTGTGCATGAGCATATTCAAGGCATTTTGCTTAAAATAATTACCTATAAATCATCTGATATGCTACCCAAGTTTTAGATTGAAAATAGCAAGTACACAGTGAATGTAGAAATTTTGATATTGGCTCAGATTTGTTCTTGTTCTTAACTGATTTGAATGAGTCTCATTTAACTTTTAATTTAATGTGCATTAATTTCAGGTTAATAGTTGTGTCACAGTGAAATACAGTGATTCTGTTTTGCCAACTTAATTTTTAGAAGTGATAGTTGTAACAGGAAAATTTCCATGCAGTAGAGATTGTGCACCTCTTTAAAACTTTGGAAGAAGGTGAGAGAGCAAGCAATGATTGAATATTTTTATTTTTTCTGGCTTGTGAATGAAGAGAATATTGGTGATTGTGAGTAAAGCATGAATTAAGTCTCATCATGTGAAATAAATAAATAAAAATGCTACATATTTCTGAGATGTATTCACTCTACCTTATGGAAAGGAAGAATACATACATTTTTGTACTGTAATTAACATGACTTATCAGTACTCAGATCCTCAAGTGATATGTCTTGCAGTAGACAGCCCATTTGTGACTGACTTTTAGAGCATCGCCTTTAGCCTTTAGTAGTAAGAACATGTAGACATTGTAAATCAAATGGGATTTAATAGGATTACTACTTTGAAGTAATGGTCCTCAAGTTTGAGGACCATATGCCTAAATATCAAAGAACTTTCACTGGTCTTTGATTCTTTTACTCTGGTCATCAGACTAAACATATGTGAAACATCAAATCAGTACCTAAATATATTTATATTAATACTGACAAACAATTTGATGACATTTCTTAGTATTTCCCTCTCCCATACACACACTAGACATATGTTTTACTATATACACTGAATTTAAAGATCAGTATTTTCTGCTTTGGAACTATCATTTGAATAGTTTAGCTTTCATTTGCAATTTCTATCTTAAAGGGCACCATTTAACTAATTCCTTTTGCAATTCAATTACAGACATACATATTTTTGGGGTAAACCTTTCCATTATGAAATTTAATACTTAGATAATTCAAAGAAATTTGTGAAATTGAACATACACATTAATTCACTGATAGTTGATCTTCTATTTAGGATATCACAAATTATAAGCAATTACCTTTGGAAGTAATATATAAATCTAGCAGACTTTATTAATTTAACATTTGTTTCTCCTTCATTCAGATTTAGACCTTTATCTATGCTTTCAGTGTAGTTGTAATTTTATATTTCATTAGTCTTAGCTTGTTTACCAGGAAATGATTATAGGCATCTGTATAAATAATGTATGTTCTAATGTTGCTGTAAAGGCATTAGCTAAAATTCACTTTTAGCTGTGAGTTTTTCAACTTTATTTTCTTGGTACCCATTTAATCCAGAATAATTTATTTTTAAAGTTATTAATCTTTGTTATCAAAACATTGTTGGTGTTTAATATTTGGAGTAAGTTAAAATAAGGGGCTAGTTTTTACTCAAAGGATTCAACTTCATAAAAATGACCACATCACTGTCCTCGTGTTCTATTAGTTTCTTCCAATGTCCACACCACTATAATCCTCCACTTTACAATAGCTTTAAAATAAGACTTGAAATAACAGTTGTTAAATGTTTTTCTATATTAATGGCTACCTTCCTTCCTCTTCAACATAGCATGAGAAGAATGTAGGGAAAGTCATGACTGTTAATATCATTGATGTAAAGAATTTGATTAAATTGTTGGTTGGCATTTTGTGAAAATATTACATGTGCAGAGTAACCACTATAAACAGAAAGAATTTAAAGCACAGCCTGTACATTCAAAATCATCTAAATTACATGTCAGATATAGTTGTAAATGTCAACTTAGTTTCTTGTCTTATATTTATTGTCTTATTGCCTTGATGTTACAACCATACCACTTTGTTTTTTCTAAAAGTGGATTTTGTATCTTCTTGTAGATCAGAAGCATCCTAACTGACTTAATTTTCTCACGAGATTTTTAATGTATAGTTTTAAATAAAGAGGGTGAAATTTTGATGTCTATCAAGGCTACTGTTCAATACTATCATTAGTCTAAAGAAAGAAAGTGGGAAACATATGTGGAGACAAATATACATAAAGGTATAGTTATTTTAAATTATTTGTGAGGAAGTCAGAAAGTATAAAATGAGTTACATATAAAATAACTAAAATGTATTGGAAAAATTGCAGTGTAGGCTAGAGATTTGGGGGTGAGAGGACTCACCAGAGACAGAGTAGGAAGCAAAACTAGTAGATCTATTGAAATACACTGTTGAGAGGAGCAGCATAGGAAGCAGAAACGGTGACATAGTAGGAAGCAGATCTAGTA